TTTCACGAATTGTTCTCCGGGCTTTTTGAAGGATATTTTTCTTGGGGGAGGCCAATCCATGACTAATAGTCAATTGTCAGCACCAGTCAGATGATTTCCAGGTGGTCTTACATTGTGGATCCAAATCTGATGGTACTTCTCTGTCTCCAACACCACTGGCTGAAATGCAGTTTCAAACCATGGTAAAGCCTCCACCGTGTTTCACAGATAACTGCAGACACTCCTCCATGCATATTGACAATGATTTAAACCAAACATTTCAAGTTTGGTGTCATCACTCCACAGGATGTATTGAATCTGTTTTTTGTCCAGTTCTTGTGTAATTTGTCATGCTTCAGCTTTTTCTGCCTGTTTCTCTACCTAATGACTTCTTGGCAGCCACTGAGGCCATATCTGATGAGGGCTTCAGGAAACAGTACCTGGATCAACAGACAGTTGCGTCTCAGGTCCTACTTCAGCTCAGTCTGCTGTAGATATTTTTTAGGCCTTCCACTACTTCTTTCATCCTCCACTTGGCCAGTTTCTTCCAACTCGGCTGGGTGTGGAGTGTTTCCTTTTTAAGCATAAACTGCACAACCCACCTAGACATGCCAAGTTTTAGGCTAATAGTCCCTTTGGGACTCAGCCTGTTTGTACAAAAATATTATTTTATGTCTGTCAAACTGACTAATTGAGGTTTTGTAATAAATGAAAACATTAGTTTAGAACAGAAACAACAGACATGTTGTCTCTTGACTCTGGGGAGAACCTGGGAGGAGTGGAGGCTGCTGGTTCTTTCAGACTTTCTGACTTGGCTCTGTGATGCTCTTTTTTCTTTTCTTTTTTCCTTATTTTCTCTTTCCCTTCCCTTAGCCTTGATCTACCCCTTGCTTTGTGCGGACCTGTGTGGTACAGTCCTGGGGTCCTGCCTTCGAGTCCACTCCCCTGTCCCTTTGCCTGGCTCTCTGGTGCTCAGGTGGACACCTTGGGGAACTGATTGTCATGTGCAAATGGGGGTGTGCTGCGGCACACAAGTCTGGTGTTCCTCTTAGGTTTCAGGTCTGTTTGTCCCTCAGCTTGTGCACTTGCTATGGGCCCCTCTCTTTGCGTGCCCGTGGGGTATTGGTGTTTAAGCTCTGCTGATTCAGGTGATATTGGTGGGAGTGGAGATGTCCTCACAGCACAGTTTATCACACTGAGTGCTCTTGTCTATGCTGGATAAATGTTTGGTTCCTCAGTCTCATCATGCTGCATTTTGCTAGCCTTTTAGGGTTGTGGGCATTATTAATGTCATGTATGAAGCCGTAATAACTGGGGGGCATGAAACAGCAGTCTGAGGTCATCTGAAAGATACACAACATAACAGAAATACAAAGAACACAAACAACTTTAATTTGGAACAACAGCAGAAAGAGTCAGCTCTGAGATTAAACAGGAACATTCTTTGAAATTAAACAGCACAAACGTGGCAATAATTAAACAATAATATAATACTTTTTTTTGCCTAAGTTTTAAGAAGGCAGCAGAAATAAACAGCACAAACAACAAACAGCATAAATATGGAGCTGCACCGTCTACATGTTGGCGGATCCAGAACTTCAAATGAATATCTGCAGTTTCAAGTTTCAGTTCATGGCCGTTCACACCCTAAAGGGTGGGTCTGAGGGTAACCATGGATAAAAGGAGTAGTGAGACCAAGTTTGAATTAGATTCATGATCACTGAGCTAT